AAAGTCACAACAGTGACAAGACTTTCCTTCCCACCTATATTGGTGCTTTAAAAGGGCTTATGATCTGGACGAGTTACTCGCTCCGTTTGAAAGTTTAAAACCTTCAAAGTCATGTATGTTTTGGAAATCCTCTACCGTTCTGATTCAATATTGCTCTGACAATGGCATGACACAAGATATAAAAGGAGGATTTTCTCCGATCTGTGCGAACTCTGTGCATACAATATCCTCTATTTTCTAATCTTTTCTCGGGCTCGTTTTTCAAGCATGTCGGCATTGTTTCACTACATACAATACAGCTCTCGCTTTTCGCAGCTTTGCACATCTTTACTCCTTGAGGTGAGGAAATTCGTTGGAAGATTTCTAATTCTATTTAGCTGTCCGAGGATAAATAACTAATCGTTGAGAACGGTCTGGCTATAGAAAATTATTATGAGTGATACGTGCAGTGACAACAAGGAAGACACAGGGAAAACGCCTTTGAGGAAAATCATCACTATCATCCTGAATATTCTGTTATGCAGGTAAGCTACCAATGTTTTTTGGGGCCCTAATCAACTAGCTCTTTTCCCAAAAACTCAGAAATAAGCTTTGTCCTCACCCTTGTCTATGAACTTTACTCGTGCCTTTATCACGAATGCGACATAAGTTTTTGGCGCTGACTCTATTTGGCACCAAAATGGTGCCAAGTTGGCACTTAAGTTTATATAGACAAAGGTGATAGCGGCAAACTGGCGCCTACGGCGCCGAATGGCGCCGCGCCACATATGGACGTCACTTCCTCAATGAAGACCGCGAATAACCCGATTTTAGTGGAAAAGATGGTAGTGTCATTTGGCCCCGGTAAGGTATGATAGGTATGGTATTTGGTATGCGTCGAAAAAACACTGGCGCCTGAACGAGTAAAAACTGTGATCGGGGCGTCAGTAGCCCCTTTAGGTCGGAAATTAACATTTCGGATTGTTCAAGTTGAATAGTGCTTCTTCTTGTTATCGAGAAATGTTTCTTCTCGGGAATGGATGTCCTTTCTCCAGTCGGTCCACCCAAAAACTTGCCGTTTTTCTGTGAGTAGTCGAAAGATAATATTCTGATGGAATATAACGTCACACCAAAGTGTCTGTGCAGCAGCGAATGGAGTACACGTGTTGAGGACTCCATTTGCAACTGACGGTTGCTCAAGCGCTCGCTATCCCCGGTCTATTTTTTAGCGAATTCTTTTCCTGGGTTTTCGGGAAATGGTAAGGGGAAGGGAGAACGAAAATCGGCTTTTTGAGTTATTTTACGGTCATACCCGAGCCTATCGCCACCAGAAACGAATGAGTAACTGTGAGTTAAGCGACTGCATGCCGGCAAGCCACCCTCATTCTACCTTTACAACTGCACTCTGCGGGGACCCACTGTTTTATATGGTTGATCTCCACAGAGCCGCGGTTGTCTTTACAATCCTGCGATATAGTTGACATCGGCAGTCAGTCGGGAGGTGTGCCAAAAGCTCCTTCGGCTGGGCCTTCTACCAGTAATCGTTAGGAGGAAAACATCAGTAATAAAAAAAGGCCGCGAGTGGGCTCATTTATGCATTTTGACACCGTTCAGAACGACTGCTACGTGGTCAAATGTAATTATGGAGTAGTGCTCAAAAGTACTCGGTCAAACGGTTTTTCGTCCATAACGTTTTTGCTAACTCAAGGAGGGAGGGGGGTGGCACTTTGTACGTTCGGTTTTCTTCCCGTACAGGTGTCGACCTATCTATAGAACTATTTATTTCGTGAGCTTACAAGAGTTGAAAGGATTTAACGTGATGGCTCTACGAGCTTGTTCCGGCTTCACAGGAGTAGACAGAATCCTCCAGTGAGACTTGTGAATCGGAACTAGTGAGTTATTGATCCTAACTTGGAAGGTCGGCCGGATAGAAATGATTCAATCCAGTGAATCTTAGGATGGATACCATCATGTAGTAATTTATACAACAATCAGCTGCACGGTCTTCTTCCGAATCACCACAGAGAGCGAAATTTCGCTTTGGTACATACAAATAGTGTGTAGAATCTTCAAAACTGTGTTAACAATATCATAAGCCTTTCAACACCGGTAGTTAGTCGTTGCTCGGAAAATTGCGTACCATGTACCATATTCAAAGAAGATTATTGGTGACAGATTGGTGTAAGATAATTCGAGGGAAATTCGTTGGAAATTGGTTGGGTAAGAGGCGAGAACCCATTTGGCCGAATACTTCTGAACGCTACTTTATGATTCGACGATCCTACCAGCTGCTTATTGAATGGTAATACGGCTGAACGCCTCTGTGAAAATTCAAGCCAAATGAGCAAACATGACGCTATCTTCGCTTTTTAGGGGCGATGTAGAGGCCAGCAGAGAAAACGGAAACCGAGCCGGTCGCAGGTGGAAAGACGTTGGTAAGTATGATAGATCAGCCATTTGTTGATCGGTGGTTTTTGATAGATAGAACATTTCCGATAGAATTAGAAATTCTTAATCTGTGGAGTAAAGTGTCGCTTCGTCGTTCGGGTTTTGTTTTCGAACTTCTTCCGAGCTATGTACAGTTTATACTACCGCGAGGGGCTGATTCCTTCCTACATCCCTACATCGATCATTGCTCGATCACTACTGGTAGAGCAAGGCCGACGCGAGGGCTCGTGCCGCGCTGCGCTGCGCCGCACCCGCTCTAATCGCCAGTGTTATACAAAGCATAGATATTTGAATTCGCATTTGACCCATGACATGGGAGAATGGGGGGGGGGACACATAATCGTGTCCGAATTCCGTCACCGCTGCAGGTCTTTAATAAAATTAAGGAGGGGGGACACATAATTGGTGTCCGAATTCCGTCACGCGCTAGTGCAGGTCTTTATAAAATTAAGGAAGGGGGAGCAGATAATTGTGTCCGAATTTCGCGTCACGTGCAGGTCTTTAGTAAAATTAAGGGGGGGGGGGCGGAGGGATCTTGCTAGTGGTGAGCATCGTCCTTGTTATGATCGTTTCCACTCCCACTCGAAAGGAAGAACGTCTCCCGTGGTCTGTTCTGTGCTTATAATTAAGTTGTCCTTGTACACGCGGTCCCCAATTTAGGAACCAGTCGCTCAACTCAACAGCAGCGCCGCTGCTGGAAGGCAAATAGCACGATAAATGTCCAAGACGTCGAAGAACTAATACGCCTAGCGGGATTTAATTCGGCTCGCCCGAGCAAGCGCTGCGAGGCATCCTTTCCAAGGAGATACCCTTATGGCACCCTATCAAGCTCAGCACACCGACCGGATGCCCACCGCGCCCCTGATGCTTGTATTGCTCCATTTGCGAAGTGAAATATGAAGCGAAGGAATTGATATGAAGCGACCGCGGTGCTGCATGGATATATGAGTGCATACGCACAGCTCCACCTACGTTAGCGGTTATTGACAAAATGCACGTGGGAACTCGTCCAAAATTGCTTTTGAGTCATTGAGAACGAAGGCTTTTCTTCGCAGGTTTTTGACCGTTTCACTTCGTTTTTGCCATTTTCCCCACTATATAGCACCCTGCTAGCATTTTAGACCGAACACCAAATTATCGTGCAATATGCCTTTGAGCGGCAACGTTTGCAATTTTTGGAATGCGACACGCATACTACTTCCATTTAGAATTATTGTTCGATGTGGTCTATAAAGCGCTTGCAGATAGCAGCCAAGGTACAAGTACATTCTTATCCTTCTGAACGAACCGGGTACCGATTTCTGGTCCCCGGAGGGTAGAGGGTTTTGTTGGCTTAGGAACAGATACGGGTCTCAGCCATGCGTCAGCGCGCGTGGTAAGCGTGTTACCTGCCAATATACCACCAGCCGAAGAAGTAGAGGGTACCAAGTTTCGACCTTAATATTTGGCTCTATAGCTGATTTTATTCATGTGCAGGCACAATATCAATTAAAAAATTCGAGTCCGACAGTTGTTACTCTTGATCCTCCTGGAGGTTTTTTATTTATAGCAATTTTCAGTTTCGTTTCGCCACTACACGAGACTTGTGGTACCTGTCGATAGGTGGTATCTGTGCGATGATTGGAGGTGCTGTTCAGCCATTTGTTCTGATTCTGGGTGGATTCATTACAGCAGTCTACCTTGAGCCTGGAGAGGTACTTTAATAGCCTTCAGAGTAACCTAGTAACAACATCCGAGAAAATATTGTCAATTCAGAAAATTGCGAATAACGAGTTCTGGAATCATGTTATGCATCTCGTATGTTGGCTAGGAATCGCTGGTACCTGTGCTTTGATAACGTCATTCGTTCAGGTATTTTTTGGAGGTGTTTCACACAGTGATGAAAAGATCGATCCACTGCCAATTTTTGCATCGCTTACACCTGTCGGAAGATGTAATTGTATTAGGTTGGCGGGAAAGTTCTGTCATACTTTTTTGAACCCATATTCGCCTATTACCTGAAGAGGGCTAACCGGTAATGTGAGCATTTATACATTGAAGGATTGATCTTTCTATTAGTGTCACTGGCTCGGCTCCTGCTCATCCTTATTCTGCATTATGGACAAGAATGTTATCCGCTACCTTCAGCACCGACCCCTTCAAGCGCTTCCTTGAACTATTTCTTCTACCACCCTGGCGCCAGCATGGCAGCTGTCGACGCCGAAATAATGGAGCTGCACAAGGACAATGTCTACAGTCATCAGACAATCTTCCACGATAGCTCTTCAGAGCGGGAGCCTACGGTTCGAATGACGAAGTGAGGTTCGGGAGTACCTGTAAACTCAGCTCTAGATAGCGGTGGGTCGGGAAACTACTGGATGAAGAAGCTGCCTCCTCGGTCAATCCGTACGCAAGGCAGCTACGAGATCTGAAGCGAATCGTCAAGCAGAGGGCAAAATCCATCGGCACGTCTTCAACGTGCTGGTGCAGCACACCCCGTCAAAAAAAGTTCGAGCCGTACTTCATGCAATAGAGCTGGATGGCTCTCCCCTTGCACCGGTGTAGTCCAGACATTGCTCTTTCTGACTGCTAGTCGCCTCCCGTATTCAACCGTTATACAGCCGAGAAAACCTCCACGACTTGAGCCCAAGTCAAAGTTGAGATGATGTCCAACTTTGCGTCGCGCCGGCGTGCATTGTTAAGCGATGGCATCCACGAACTGTCCAAAAACTGGCAAGGATCTCTCAATAACATTGCTGTATAATTTTGATCTTGTACGCCTCTCTGTAAAAAGAAAGTCTAATTTGAAAAAATGTGACAGAACTTTCCCGCCAACCTAATAGTAGTTTATTACATAGGTTGTCCCTGTGTTTCGCTACGAAGACAAACACAAAAGAAACAGAAACAGCAGCGGCTAGAGAATTGATGTGAGCAGGTTTCAGTCATTCTTTCTCTACCGAGGCTGTCTGAACGTGGTCAATTCCATCCGTCATCAGTACCTGGCGGCGGTACTACGTCAGGAGGCGGCATGGTTCGATGAAAACGATTCCGGTGTTATCACTTCACAGTTGAACGAGTACGTTGGTTTTCCGTCGTGCAAAGCTTCAAATGGTAACTGCTGAAGTCGCCCCACAATGGCGCAATGACCGCTTGGAGATGAAACTTATTCCAAACCAGCAGTGTGATCTTGTATATACATATGGTGTTGCATTTTGGCGGTGCCCAGGTTGGAAGGAAGGGGTCACTCCACTAGTGATAACGTGGAAACAAACGAGCAATACTTCGAGGCTTCAACCTCGTTCAACTCATAATCAAGAAGTCTGTTTTTATTTTGGGGCACGCGAGGTTCCCTTCGAAGGTTGGTGGCCCAGAAACCCATCGTTTGGTGAATCCTCCTTTTTTGGTGAGCAAAAAACAAATGTCAGCGGGCTAAACGCAGCTGTTGCGCGCTACGCCATACGGTATAGTGATTAAGGCTTATGCCCACAGGGGCGTCTTCGGGCGGGAGTGTCGCATCTCGAGGATCGCTCCTAGCTCAGCCCCGGGTGCGCCATCGCCTGCAGTGATCGCCGTCGCAAATGACCCACTATAATCAACAGTGATCGCGCGGCAAAACAACTACCCTGCCCATGTTCCATGGGCCGCCGGCATTCTCGTTCTTTTTCTTCGGCTCGGAACCCCGCTTCTCACTATCATGGCGACGGCCCTGCAGGGCTTTAGCCCTTAGAATTACTACGGGGATATCGTTTATTGGTGACGCTCATTATATCTATGAAGACGCCTAGTAATAGTTCAGCCGTCAGGAAAACACCTTCCAAGGGAAGTAAGTGAATTCACCTTTTACCTGTTACTAGTTCATATTTTTGAAGTTGCGAATTTAGCCGTGTTTCCTTTTTATTAAAGTTATTATTCATTTCTTTACT